TGTGTGTGTGTGTGTGTGTGTGTGTGTGTGTGTGTGTGTGTGTGTGTGTGTGTGTGTAGTGGAAGAAGGGTGTGTGTGTGTGTGTGTGTGTGTGTGTGTGTGTGAGTGAGATAAGCAGAAGGCAGTCCCTTGGTGTCATATGGATGCCCCAGTCCCCAAGGGCAGCCAAATCAATCTGGGGTCTGGGCCCAGCAGGCAGCTCTTTCCAGTTAATTCTTAAACCTGGGACTTTATACTTCTAGAGCTGGTGGAGGGGCAGCTCATAATGCCTCCTGTGCCCCCTCCCAGGCAGGTGATGCTTTTCCGGAAGAGTCCTCAGGAGCTGCTGTGTGGGGCCAGCCTCATTAGTGACCGCTGGGTACTCACTGCTGCCCACTGTCTCCTATACCCACCTTGGGACAAGAACTTCACTGAGAATGACCTTCTGGTGCGCATTGGCAAGCACTCTCGTACCAGGTATAGAACTGGGGACCGTGGTGCCTGGCAGGGATCTGAGTCCTCCAGAGTGACCATGAGGGGTGCTGGGGTGTGTGGGAGATGGCTGTACATCTCCCACAATAGAAAACCCATCCATTTCTACTGTACAGTCCATTTGACCACACTGACTGAGGCTTGGAGCTAGGAACAGAGAAACTAACGCTTCGTGGAGAGCTCCTTTCCAGACCAGGCTGTGGCCCAGGTGTGACCTTTAACTAGAGGCTGTTTAGACCAAGGCCTATGGCTTGCCTCCTCTCCTTATCTGCCTGGACTGTTTGACTCCAACGCTCTGTCCAACTTCAGGCCAGGAAAAAAGCTGCCAGGGGGTCTGCCAAGGCAGGAGCCAGCCCTCTCCCTTCACTGCTGGCCCACTGTCACCCTGCCTCCCAGAGACAGAGGGCAGGCAGTTTCCTTCCCTAGGGAACCAGCCAACCTGCACTGGGTGGCCCACAGCTTCTCTGTCTCTCTTTTGGGGTCTGTACAGGTATGAGCGAAGCATTGAAAAGATCTCCATGCTGGAAAAGATCTACATCCATCCCAGGTACAACTGGAGGGAAAACCTGGACCGCGATATTGCCTTGCTGAAGCTCAAGAAGCCCATCACCTTCAGCAACTACATCCACCCCGTGTGCCTGCCCGACAAGGAGACAGTGTACAGGTAAGGCTCTGGGCCCTGGGCTGGGTTCTGGGCCTGACAAACACTGAGTAGCCTTGCAGAAGTTCCTTTCCCAGGCCTCAGTGTCTTGGAGTGAACCCCAATGTTCTCTCTGTTCTGGTATTTTAGACTCAGGCCTATCAGGGATGGTGTTGGGGCCAGGAGGCTCCTGGAGGTGTTGGTTCTCACTAGCTCCTTCTCCCTTCTCAAAGACTGCTCCGGGATGGATACAAAGGGCGCGTAACAGGCTGGGGCAACCTGAAGGAAATGTGGACAACCAGTGTTGGTGAGGTGCAGCCCAGTGTCCTGCAGGTGGTGAACCTGCCCATTGTGGAGCAGCAGGTCTGCAAGGCCTCCACTCGGATCCGCATCACAGACAACATGTTCTGTGCTGGCAAGTGCCCTGGGAGCGGCAAGGCAGGAGGGAACAGACAGGCCTCCTGGTGGGGTTCTGAGACATTTTAAGAGCATGGGCCTGTTCAAGTCCTGGGTCCAATCACTTGCAGGCTACGTGGCTTTGGGGAAAGTTGCTTAACCCCTTGGAGGCTCAGTTTCTTTCTCTGTGAGATGAAGAAAAAGCCTTTATCCCATGAGGTTGTGTGAGGATAGTGTACGTAAGATACTGTATATAAAGTGTTAGGCAGGCTGCTAGTTACTTGCTAAGTTGTCAATAGCCCGGATAGCCACACGAGGCTACAGGTACAGGCAAAGCCATTCATTCATTCAATTATTGAGTGCCTACTATGATCCAGGGAGTATTCCAGGTTTACAACAAGGACCCAAATGGACAATGGCTGTGTCCTCAGAGAGCTTCCTTCCTAGAGGGAAGGAGTGTCAATAAACAGATCTAGAATAGCAATCCGTGCTAAGAAGAAAAATGAAGCAGAGTAAGGGAGAGAGAGGTGGAGACTGGGCTGATCATCTCAATAGAGTGGTTGGAGAAGGCTGGAGAAGGCTTCTCTGAGAATAGACTAGCAATGAAGGAGTGAACCAATCTACAGGAAGTATATGCAGGCTGAGGGGCAGCCGGTGCAAAGACCCTGGGGTAGAAACATGCTGGGCAGGTTTGAGGAGCAGCAGGGAGCCCTGTGTGGCTAGAGTGCAGTAAATACAGGAAGGGCAGCAGATAAGGGGAAAGAGGTGGGCAGGCTGAGATCGACACTTCCTTTAGGGCTTGAAAGACTGTTTTTTTTGAGGTAGGAAGTTATTGGAAGGTTTGGGGCAGGTGAATAAATAGTAAATTGTCTAACTTAATTTTTAAATTTTAGTGTTATTTCAGAGTCACAGAAAAGTTGCAAAACTAACACAAAGAATTCTTGTACACTGTTATCCAGATCCTGCCCCTGACTTCCATTTATAAATACACACACACATACACATGTGCTGTTTGAGAACAAATTATACATATGACGTTTGTTTATCCATATACTTGAGTATTTCCAAAAAACAAGATGTTCTTATATAACCACAGTATAATGATTAAAATCAGGAAATTAACAATGATACAATACCGCTGTCTAATCTATAGACCTTTTTAAAGTATTATCCAATTGTCCTACTTACTAATGGCTTTTATAACAAAATAAAAAAATGTTTTTCTCATCCAGAATCCAAGATCACACATTGTATTTAGTATCACCCGTTTTTTGTCTTCTATAACCTTGACATATTTGACAAGTATAGGCCAGTTATTCTGTAGATTGGTCCTCAGCTTGCTTTGTCTGTGTTTTTCTCATGAGCATATTCAGGCTGAATGATGTTGTGTCCCTTTTAGTGTGTCCCATTAGCACACGTGATGTCACTTTTTCCCATAACTGGTCAGAGATTAACTTAGGCCTCTTGGTTAAGGTGGTGTCTGCATTGGCCAGGTTTTTCATTGTAAAGTTCTCTTTTTCTCTTTGTAATTAATAAATATATTGTGGGGAGCAGCTTTGATAATGTCTATCCTGTTTATCATCAAATCCTTCTCTCGACTACAGTGGCTGCCAAATGGTGATTCTGTAATTCTGTCGTTCCTTCTACACTTTATTGTAAAGAACACCTTTCCTTTCTTTCATTCTATCAGTGTGGTCTCATGGGTCCTTACTTTATTTTAAGGGTTATAATTTGTTACTATTGTTATTTGATTTTCAAATTATCTCAGTTTTGGCTGGTGGGAGTCCCTTCAGCCTGGACTCTGTGACTTATGGAGCTGTCCCTGTTGTCCTCTGAGTACTTTCTTGCTTTTGGGACAGCAGGATGTCCAGGGTCATCCCATTTTCCTTCTAGTGGAGAAAGGTATTTAAAAACCAGGGTCTGGGGCCAGGGATGCACATTGTGATTGGGCTGTCATTGCTTCTAGGCACTTTTAATAGTCAGAACTAGAAAATATATGTATTATGCATATACCAACCTCTGTACCTATTTTTGTTTCTTCTTATCCATCCATGTGTTTCTTTTTGTACATATGAGCAGACAGATGTATTCTTATTTCTCCTTTCTTACACTCTGGGCAGCATACTATAGATATTCTTTTGTTCTTTGTTTTATTTTTCACTTAATGTATCCTGGAAATTCACACTCTATTGTTTGTAGAGTTTTTCCTTATTCTTACAAAAAATGTTTATAGCCACATTATATTCCATTATATGGACGCATCATAGTTTATCCAACCATTTTCTGTGTATGGGCATTTAGATTGTTTCCAATATTTTGCAGTTGAACATCTTTTCATATGCTTAACAACCATTTTTATATTATTTTTTGTCAATTTCTATTCATGTGTTTTTGCCCATTTTTGTCCCTTTCCTATCAATCTGAGTTCTTCATATGTTAGTAATATAAAGCATTTCTTTGTCATACACATTGCTGAAATTCCCTCCCAGTTTGTTAGTTTTTTAACTTTTATATATTTCTTGCCTTTCAGTTAAAATTGTCTTATATAGTCAAACTTAATAATGTTTCATTTTATTGCATCTGGATTCTGAGTCCTTATACCCAGATCATAGAGAAACTCACTCATGTTTTCTTTTAGTACTTGGTTTCATTTTTCAGCTCTTAGATCTCTGTGTCACTTGGAGTTTATTCTTGTATGTGATGCAAGGTATGGATCTAATATATCTTTTTTCAAATGGCTAACCAGCTGTTCCTACATCATTTATTAAAAATTCTATCTTTATAACCTGATCAAAAAATGGGTGGAGGCTCTAAACAGACACTTGTGCAAAGAAGAAATTCAGATGGCCAACAAGCATGTGAAAAGATGCTCCACATTGCTAATTATCAGGGAAATGCAAATTAAAACCACATAGAGGTATCACCTCAGACCAGTTAAGATGGCCAACTTCCAAAAGACAAAAAACAACAAATGCTGGTGAGGATGCGGAGAAAGGGGAACCCTCCTACACTGTTGTGGAAAGCAATATGGAGGTTCCTCAAAAAACTAAAAATTTAAATACCATTTGGCCCAGGAATTCCACTCCTAGGAATTTATCTGAAGAAAACAAGATCCCAGATTCAAAAAGACAGCTGCACCCCTATGTTTATCACAGCACTATTTACAATAGCCAAGATATGGAAGCAACTGAAGTGTCCATTAGTATAGAATGGATAAAGAAGATGTGGTACATATACACGATGGAATATTATTCAACCATAAGAAGAAAACAAATCCTACCATTTGTAACAACATGGGTGGAGCTAGAGGATATTACGCTCAGTGAAATAAGCCAGGTGGAGAAAGACAAATACCAAATGATTTCCCTCATTTGTGGAGTATAATAACGAAGCAAAACTGAAGGAACAAAACAGCAGCAGACTCAGACTTCAAGAAGGGACTAGCGGTTACCAAAGGGAGGGGTTTGGGGAGGATGGGTGGGGGGGGGCAGGTAGAAGAGGATTAAGGGGCATTATAGTTAGCACACAATATAGGTAGGTCACAGGGAAGGCAGTACAGCAGGAAGACAGGTAATGACTCTACAGCATTTTACTACACTTGATGGACTGTGATAGCACTGGGGTCAGGGGGCGACTTGATAATATGGGTGAATGTTGAAACCACAATGTTGCTCATGTGAAACCTTCATAAGATCGTATATCGATACCTTAATTAAAAAAAAATTCTATCTTTGCCCCAGTGATTTGAGATGTCACCTTCATCACATATTTAGTTTCTCTGTATGTTTAAGTTAAGTCTGTTTCTATTCGAAGACATTCTGTTCTGTTCTCCTCTTCAGTTTTCTATTCTGTTTGAATTACAGAGGCTTCAGAGTCTATCTTAACATCTGGTAGGGCTTGTTGTCTCTTGCAGTTCTTCTTTTCCAGTGCTTTCCTGGCAATTCTTGCATGTTTGTTTTTCCATGTAAACTTTGGTATTAACTTGTTTAGCGCCAGTAAAGTAAATTTGTAGGTGTTTTTATTGAGATTATGTTAAATTTATCAATTAATTTAGGGAGAACAGACATCTTTTTGATGTTGAGTCATTCTATACAAGGACAAGTAATGTCTTCCCATAGGTTCAAGTGTGAGTGCTGCAATTATGATTTTTTTCTCCTTGGCATCTTATTTGATAGATTTGTGTTTTTCTTGCTTGTTTTTCTTGAGCAAATTAGCTAGTGGTTGCAATAACAAACAAAAGGCACTTAGGAATTTCACTTGTTAATTAAGCCTATTTTTCAGTACTGTATGTTATTAATTTCTGCTTTTATCTCTCAAAATTTTTTCTTCCTTGTGCTTCATTTGTTTTACTTTGCTGTTCTCAGTGCTTTGAGCTGACAATTTTGTTAATTTATTTTGGACATTCATTTTTTATTAAGTAGGGTTATGCATTTCCTCTGTCCATAAAAAACACTTATGTAGTGTTTTCATTATTATTATTTTTTAGAAATTCTGTGATTTCAGTCTGTACTCCTTTTTTACTCAAGTTTTTTAATAGGAGGTTTTTAAATTTCCAAATGGGGGGGCTCTATTGTGTTTTGATTTATTGAATAATTTTGCATTTTTGCTGCATTATGATCCAACAGTATCTATAATATTTCTACTTTATGGAACTGATTTTTTTTGAGAGGGAGGGAGGGAGGTGTATTTCTGTAAATATTATATGTGTGCTGAAGGTGTGTAGGCATGTTTTCTATTATCCATGTGTATAGTCTGATATGTATCTGTAAATGTTACTTGTTATTTAGGTCATTTATATCCTTTTTATTTTCAGTTCATTGGATCTGTCTTGTAATGAGTTTGTGTTAAATTCTTTTATTAATATATTTTTATCTGTCTCCTTGCATTACTAAGAGTCTTTTACTTTATAAGAGCGATTGCTGTGTTATTTGGTGCAGATATTCATAACTTATTTATTCATTTTTGAATTGTGGTTTTAAGCATTTAAAAATGGTCCTTTCTTTAAATTATCTTCAGTTTCAGGATCATGATCCCTGTTTTCTTTTTGTTTCCATTCGCCTGATATACCTTTGCCCATGCTTTTAATTTTGTTCTGTGAATCACTTTGTTTTGTTTCTTAAAGTTTCTTATATAAAGCATAGCCGTTCATATTCACTGATATGATTGAATTAGTATTAACTCATATTATTTTGTGTATTATGTTCATTTGTTGTGTTTTTACCCTGTGATGTTTTCTTTATTTAAAAAAATTTATAATATTTGTATATTTTATATAGTTTGCATTTTTGTTCTATGGATTATCTTTGGCCTTCCACCTGTTTGACATGCCCTTCATTCCTTATTTTCTTCTATAATATTTTATTTGTCTCTCATACCCACTGGCTACACAACAATCAGTGCATTTACTTTCCTCTTGCTCTTTCATATTTTTAGTTGCATTTTTTTTTCTATTTGTTAGGACAATCAGTCCTTTTGCTGATGCATTCATTTCTTGGTTGGATGAAGCTTGTGCACTGACAGATTCTTCAAGAAGGGTTATGGGTATCAAATTTCCTGAGTTCTTTTTTTTATTAAGGTATCATTGATATATACTCCCACGAAGATTTCACAAGGAAAACAATGTGGTTACTACATTCACCCTTATTATTGAGTCCCCCCAATACCCCATTGCAGTCACTGTCCATCAATGTAGCAAGATGCCACAGAGTCCCTACTTGTCTTCTCTGTGCTACACTGTCTTCCCTGTGACCCCACACACACCATGTGTCCAATCATAATACCCCTCAATTCCCTTCTCCCCACCTCCCCACCCATCCTCACCCACCCCTCCCCTTTGGCAACCACTACTCCCTTCTTGGAGTCTGTGAGTCTGCTGCTATTTTGTTGCTTCGGTTTTACTACATTGTTACACTCCACAAATGAGGGAAATTGTTTGGTATCTGTCTTTCTCTGCCTGACTTACTTCACTGAGTATAATACCCTCTAGCTCCATCCATGTTGTTGCAAATGGTAAGATTTGTTTTCTTCTTATGGCTGAATAATATTCCATTGTGTATATGTACCACATCTTCTTTATCCATTCATCTACCGATGGACACTTAGGTTGCTTCCATATCTTGGCTATAGTAAATAGTGCTGTGATAAACATAAGGGTGCATATGTCTTTTTGAATCTGAGAAGTTGTTTTCTTTGGGTAAATTCCTAGGGGTGGAATTTCCAGGTCAAATGGTATTTCTACTTTTAGTTTTTTGAGGAACCTCCATATTGCTTTCCACAGTGGTTGAACTAGTTTACATTCCCACCAGCAGTGTAGGAGGATTCCCCTTTCTCTGCATCCTTGCCAGCATTTCTTGTTCCTAGTGTTTTCGATGTTGGCCATCCTAACTGGTGTGATGTGATAACTCATTGTGGTTTTAATTTGCATTTCCCTGATAATTAGCGATGTGGAGCAGCTTTTCACATGCCTGTTGGCCATCTGAATTTCTTCTTTGGAAAAGTATCTGTTCATATCCTCTGCCCATTTTTTAAAAAGGTTATTTGTCTTTTGGGTGTTGAGGTGTGTGAGTTCTTTATATATTTTGGATGTTAACCCCTTGTCAGATATGTCATTTACAAATATATTCTCCCATACTGTAGGATGCCTTTTTGTTCTGCTGATGGTGTCCTTTGCTGTACAGAAGCTTTTTAGCTTGATGTAGTCCCATTTGTTCATTTTCACTTTTGTTTCCCTTGCCTGAATGTTTTCTTCTAAGAGTTTTATGGTTTCATGACTTACATTCAGGTCTTTGATCCATTTCAAGTTTACTTTTGTGTATGGGGTTAGACAATAGTCCAGTTTCATTCTCTTGCATGTAGCTGTCCAATTTTGCCAGCATCAATTGTTGAAGAGGCTGTTTTTTCCCCATTGTATATCCATGGCTCCTTTATCATATATTAATTGACCGTATATGCTTGGCTTTATATCTGGGCTCTCTAGTATGTTCCATTGGTTTGTGGGTCTGTTCCTGTGCCAGTACCAAATTGTCTTGATTACTGTGGCTTTGTAGTAGAGCTTGAAGTTGGGGAGCATAATCCCCCACCCACTTTATTCTTCCTTCTCAGGATTGCTTTGGCTATTTGGGGTCTTTTGTGGTTCCATATGAATTTTAGAAGTATTTGCTCTAGTTCTTTGAAGAATGCTTCTGGTATTTTGATAGGGATTGCATTGAATCTGTAGATTTCTTTAGGCAGGATGGTCATTCCTGAATTCTTATATGTTTATAAACTTTCTGTAGCCTTGACATCTGAAGGTCCACTTGGTTGGATATAAAATCTGTGGTTCACATTTTCTTTCCTTGAATTTTTTGAAAATAGAGCTTTATTGTTGCTTGTTATATATGCTGTTTTTGAAAAGTCTGATGCCCATGTAATTCTTGGGAACTTGTAAGGTATTTGGTCCTTTTGCTTGGAGGCCTTGAGGGTTTTTCCTTCATCTTTGAAGTACAACAGTTTTATTAGGCTATGTTTTAGAGTGTTTTAGGTCAGTTTTGCCAAGTACCTAGTACATCCATTCAATATGTATTATCTTTTATTTCTGTAAAGTTTTCCTCAATAAATGTTAGTTCTGTTCCATTTTATTTTTCTTCTTGAGGGACTCAGATTTTTTCTTTGGTCTGAGTTCTATTTCAGCCACTTTCTGCTTTCCATTTCTTCCTATTGTTTTGCCCATTTATTTTTAATTTTTGAATTTCTGATTCTAGGTATTTTGTCACAATTTTGTGGTTGTGACAAAAAAGTCACATTTTTGTTTGACACAAAAATGTCAAAAATTTGCTAGAGGAAATTAAATTCAGTTAGTTTTCTTCTGTTTCATGGTTGTATTTTGGCACAAGAATTTTTATTATCTGAGGTGTTTCTTATTTTTGTTTTCCTACTGTATATTTGGATTTATTTTTCACCTATTCATTTTGAATATTTGAGGTCATTTACAAAATTCCTAATTCACCCACTTATCTAGTAGATTTTTTTCCATACTCATCTTCACATAAGTTTGGTTAATTTATTAATTAACTTATTAACATTAGCTATACAATTAAGTATCTTAAATTGATTTGACGTATGGGTGTCCTCTGTAATCTAGTTATGTTGAAGGTGGGTTTTTTTATGTAGCTTTTGTTGTTGTTCTTCATGTTGTTCTGTATTGCTTGTGAAAGACATATGGGGATATTTGGATAAGGGCAACTGCCAATATCCTCAGCTCCTTGTAAATCTAACACATTTAAGTCATTCTGCCTGTTGGGTGGTAAATGGATTGTAGGTGGGCAAAAGTAGAAATAGGGAAACTAGTAGTTCTGGGAAAGGTATGTGATATGAGCAGGGGCAGAAATGGTCAGTGGCTGGACTTGGCATGTATGTTGAAGATAGAGTTGACAAGATTTGGTAAAGGATTGGCTGTGTGGGCCGAGGAAATGAGGAGTCAAGGATGACTAGGAGTCTAGTGGATCCCTACCAGCTGTCCATTTTGGAGGGGAGTGGCTATAGCCTGAGCTATGCCTCTGAGCACTGCTGTTCTCTATCAAGGTTACAACCCCAATGAAGGGAAACGAGGGGATGCTTGTGAAGGTGACAGCGGGGGACCCTTTGTCATGAAGGTAAGTTTCTTTAAAGCCAAGAAAGAGCTGGTGGGTTGATCTTTGGCGGGGGTTGGATACGAAGGGACTTGTTTTCAAAAATAGTTGCCTGACAGGGTAATACTGACACTACCTTGGGCTCGTCTCTATTGGAAATCCCATTTCTTCCCCAGAGCCCCTATAACAACCGCTGGTATCAACTGGGCATCGTCTCATGGGGTGAAGGCTGTGACAGGGATGGAAAATATGGCTTCTACACACATGTGTTCCGCCTGAAGAAGTGGATACAGAAGATCATTGATCAGTTTGGAAGTTAGGGGACCACCCACATTCTAAGGTCCTCACTTCAAATTCAGAGAAACCAATCCAGTTAAAGAATTATTTCTGTGGTATGTTCCTAAAACTATAGTTCTCAATAAAAGTGACTCAGTGAGTCTCAGTGTTCCCAGTGCTGTTCATGGGTAGTTTGGGAAGAGCCAGTACTACTGCTAGATAAGCAAGACTTAAGAGTCCACCACTCCTAGAACAGGCCAGGTGAGGGGAGAGATGGCAGCCTGAATTTATGAGCATTTAAAATGTTCTAGACTCAGGGCTTTAACAAATTATGTCACATTAATGCTCACAAGAGGTAGGTGAGTAAACTGAGACTTGGAAAAAAGTATCTTGTCTAAGATCAGAGGTAAGAAGGGTCAGAATTGGAGGACTGTGTTTTTAGCTGCTCTGCTGTGTAGGCTGTAGAGCTTGTCCTAAAACCAGAGAAGAGCAGGAGGAAGACTGGTGTAGTGAGGGGTGAGTAGGTAAGTCTTTATTTTTACTTCGGACTTTTCTAGTAAGTCCCTACATCTTCTTCGTGTCATTAAAATGACATCAAATTTTTGCCCAGAAAGGTCTCAGTATTTCAATGCCTTCATCTGAGAGCATTGGGGGATGTAGTGTTAGGACTATGGGCCCGCGTCATACTGCCTGGGTTCATATTGAGGGTCCAACCTTAAAAGGGGTAAGTCACTTGACCTCCATGAGCTGTTCCTTATATGGAAAATGTGTATAGTGACATTACTTACCTGTGCGCATGGTGAAATGTCTAATACCTGGAAGCTCTCAGAAACCCTCCTCCCACTCCTGCAAACAGCACGTTGGTAGGATTGTGCTTCCTGGAATTTCTACTCACATAGCAGTTATCAGATTGGAGCAATTTGACTTTCCAGGAAATGGGACCTTGAGGGTGTGTAAGTGGATTATAAGGGTTTGGACAAGTGGGAAGGTGAGAAGAGTCAAAGAACTTGGTAAAGCTCTTTCATAGCATGTTCTTCAAGGTCAGTTGGCAGAGGTCACTGGTATGGGATGGAGCATGGCTTTGACCCATTGTTGCCTTTCCACATAACTCCATTTCTAGCTGTACCATGGCATATTGCTCTTCTGTTAGATGTACTGTGGCATGGGGGAAACGAAGCACTACAGCCTACAACAGGTGAAACCAAGGTGAGTTTCCATAGGTGTGAAATGCTGTCAGTTGGTAACTACCCGAGGGCTGAGCTCCCAGGGTACGAGTGGAGCCTGAATGTCTGCCTTGGGTCCTGGGTGGGCAGTGGAGCACAGATGACTCATGGTTGTGATTCTTGACCTAGGATCTTCAACTGAGTTTTAAACTTATTGGTTGTAAGAAGGAAGGGGACCTAAGGCAGGTACCTTTACCCCCATTGGCCTCCCCCTTTTTTCCCTTCCCATTTTTCAGTACATCATGGAATTAGCACTGAGTTCCTTGCCTATTCTTTGGTTCTGTTCAATCAGAAAGCAGGATAAACACTGGAAATTCAGTGAGCTTGCAGGATCTTGGCAGCCCAGGGCTTTACCCAGAATAGGGGGAATTGTACTACCTCAACTCTGCTTTTTCAACAAGAACACACTGTCCCACAAGACTGGTTCCCTCCAACACAGCTGCCAGCACTCTGCGCTCTGGACACTTTGGTTTTTCCAAATGAGCTGTGCTAATTCCAGACTCAAGCACAGCCATTCTTTCCAAATGTTCTGCTGTAGCAGTGAACTCCTCCATCTTCCCTTCAGTGGAGGCCTACTCCCATGTTCCTATCATAAGGGAGAGGGCAAGTTTACTTTCAGGCAGCATAGGGGCCACTTGAAAATCATGACTGGAATCAACAACAGATTAATTTTCCATCAACCTTTCATTTCTTGGACATCAGTTGAATAAAAGGTAGTCTAGAAAAGTTCCTTTGAACTTAGTGATTGCCTCCAAAGTCTCCCATCTGAATCCAGAACCTCTTAGTACCAAAGAGTTTTTCTGACTGTGAAGGGAGGTTCTGAGGATTTACTCCAGATCTGACTCCTCAGTAAACTTTCTGAATGTGAAGCAACTGTTAATGTAGATTCAAAGAGACTCCAGAATCAGACAGGAAGTTCCTAAATTCTCCCATACTCCTTTAGTCAAATGACCCCGAATCTAGTCGCAGTGTGAGAACCACTATAGCCCAGTCAATCCCTGGGCACAATGTCACATGCATTTGGGCAGCAACATGGCAGGAAGCCTAAGAGCTCCCTGGAACCACAGCAATGATGGGAGAGATGTCATGACCAAAACCTGAAACAGGGAAGAATGAGATTTCTTTGCCTCCCTAGGAGCTGCATGTGGAAAGCAGGGAAGGGGAGTTCCTCCTATTCCAAAGGAAGGGGTAAAGCACCAAGTCTGTGCTGAGGAAAGGTGGCGTTCCTCAAGCAGTAATCATTAACATGTCTCCAAATGACTGGTCCCAAGGACAGGTGGCAGGAAGAGCTGCCTAGCACTCCCCGCCCGAGCATCTTAGGAGACAGACATATTATAGTTAATGCAAACTTTATTTATAAAAGACTCTTAAATTAGTTTATCATCATGCCATGCATTCATACAGAATACAGTGACCCTTCAGGGCTATAGGGAGAAGAGCTCACAAACTCAAAGGAAAACTACTAAAGAGTTTCTAATAGTTAAAGAGCTAGGAAAGATTAGGACAACTTTACAAATGAGCAATTAAAAATAAAAGTAAAGGATATGGAAACTAGTCTGAGCTGAGAGGAGGGCAGCTGTTTACAAGTTTGTACACTAAACTAATACACAGACAGTCTTCTAGGTGGGGCGCTGACAGAGAGAAGTGGAGTATGTACAAACACTTGTGCCACAGTGATGCTTCCCCCGGATCCACAGTATGATACATACAACCAGTCTGTGTACACTAGGCCTGCTAAGGCTGCTTTAAACTAGGAGGACTTCTAGTTTAGTCAACTAAAACTGCAGTGTGCCAGGGGGTGGAGCAGCTTCATTTGCGACTGCTCTTTATTCTCTCTAGTCTTTTTTTCAAGTCATCAATGTTAGCTGTGGAGGAGGATGTTGTGACAGCTTCTGAAGAGTGAGTCTGATTAGAATCCAGGTCTGAATGCTGGTGTTGCTCCCTGGACTCACGGAGCTGAGAGAGTTTGCTGTGCAGCATGTCTGTGGAAGAGGCAACAGTAGGAACTGCTGGCTTGGCGAGCACAGAGGTCAGCGGAGGTCGGTCATCTTGCTATTGAGAGAAGAGACATTCTCTAAGCAGACTAAGAGGTATTCTGGAACAGTACATACCACGCCCAGGCCGCTTTGCTGGGCCAGCCCATTCTGACCTGCTTGTCACCACCCTTCCTGACCCATGTGGGTACCTTTGTATTGTCCAGACCACATCGCTGTCGGAGGATTTTTAGCCTTTCCAGGTAGACAGATGGTCCCACCTCTTCTCCGTTTGTGTTACCTATGGAGGACACTGTGCCTGTGGAAGCAGGCAAACATGTGACCTCCATCTGAGGGGAGATGCCTGGAGAGGAAATGTAGTAAGGATATTCAGATATATACCCTCCCACTTTAGATTGTCATGGTTCACCTATTACCAAAGGGAACAATCTGGGGTTTGAATATTGCCACTGTACTTGAATAAAACATCCACAAGGTTCCACCTGGAGTTGGTGATAACAGGTGCTCTGAGAAATATATAAGATGAGCTTAGTGAAAACCTCAAAATTTGAATAGAATATATGTTGGGCCATCCAGTTGTATCCTGAGCTGTGCATGGGGTTGAATTCCTGTAATCCCACTGCTGACCTGGACAATCCAAAGAGACTACACCATTCTTGAGTATGTGGTAAGTGCCCAACTGAAGCGCCAAAGAACTAAATCCTTTGCAAGAATCAGACTAGGTTTAGACCAGGTGAGATGCAGGGGAAAGCTCTTATTCAAAAGGACAGCAAGGAGAGCTCAAGGCTATGGTGTATACATGAGGAAGAGGGGGAAACTGAGGTGTTGAACAAACACTGAAAGGATAAGAACGGGAGCATCTGTAACCCCAGCACTGAGATCAGCATTCTGGCAGGAAAGGGGGAAACCAAAACCAAATCAAACCAAAATCTACCACAGTCCCTTAATTTCTAAGAAGGCAAGGCACCACAAAATGCAGGCATCTAAAATACCCAATTTGATAGCAATGAAAATATATAAGGCAAAAAGATAAGGTGCTAGGAAGAAAAACTCCCTGTGGTAAACAGAAAAGTCAAACAGGTGACTCTACAGAAAGAGGAATTCTTAATGTAAAGAGGAGAATACTCTGAGAGGGTGAAAATGAACGAAGAAGAATGTAAAAGCAGCAGTAAGGGATGCTGAACGCTCAAAGGCATGGGACTATTCAGTAATCAGTGGGGTCGCACATTTGTGTTGCAAGTGTGTTGTTCAGGCCAAAAGTGTCGGTCAGATGTTGGGCATTGCCAGAAAGAGCTTTGGAAATGAGAAAAGGAGGCCATACTACCCATGGTATGTCCCTATGTGGCAAGCTATTAGACATTTTGCTCCAGAAAAATGCTCCTAAGGTCTTGGAGAGGATTAATTTTAGGAGGTTAAAAATAAAGAAATGATTGAAGAGAACACAGATGAAGCTACACCCTAGCAAGATACATGGTGAGAAAGAACATGGTTGCAATCTGAAAACCACAAAGGAACATCGTTTTATAGGCAAACAAATTCTAGAATGTGAGAGCAGGTAAGCCTCACTGAACTCAGAACTAAACGCAGGGCAAATGTGAGAGCTCTAAGCCACATGGCGAGAGGGAACTTTGGCAGTGGGCCTTTTCTGCAGTTGGCTCTTGGCAGCTGTTTTCTGTAACTGATAATCCTAAGGCTTCCCTCTCTCTCTAGATATTGTAAGCAATAATTCTCAAGATACTGGCTCATCAGGATAAGCTTTCATTCATTCAACAAACAACCACTGAGTGCCTACTATGTGCCAGCAACAGACAAAGGCTTGTGCACTTTAAATTCTAGCAGGGACAGACTTCAAATAATTAACCTAATAGTACTTCATTATGTGGTGTGCTGGAGGGTGATGGGGGGTGGGTGGGTGAGGGCAGGCTGCAAGTTTAAATAAGGTCTTACGGAGATA